GGCATCGTTCACGTTGCCACGTCAGCAATGCCAGCGGCATCGCCTCTGCAAGACTTCGCAACGGCAGCGTCGATCTTCTCCGGGGTCGCGTCAGGCACGAGGAGGTCTCAGTAAAAATGCAGCCGACGGGGTCAGTCGCGTCGTTGCACGTAAAGCCAGCGGCCGTGGGGTCACCAATCTGCAACAATGTCAGTCAACTTTGCCGAAACACGTCGTTGTATTGCCACTCACCTCGCCAGGGGGGAATGTCCCCGACTCGAGCGCAAGCTGGGGGTCAGCTCCGATAAGTGCAAGCTGCTGCGCCAGAGCCAGAGTGATGGCCTTGTTCTCCTCAGCGGCGCCCTCGGACGCGGGATCCTGGTGCTGCGAGATGGCGGCGATCTCCGGGTTCTCAGCCGTCTCGTTGCACAGAGCGCTGCGCTCGCCCACGGAGAGACTGTTGCGCTCGAGGGCGCGGAAGATGAGGGCGTTAGCCATGCCGTCGATGTCGCCGGCAGTCTTGGCGCCTGTGAACGCCGAGTCGGCAGTGATCTGCTGCAGACAGTCGGTGTTGGTCACGTCACCCGCACCGTCGGCAGCGGCGGCGGCACCGAGGAAGCCAAAGACGGAGTCGGCAATGTTGAAGGGGTTGTTGAGCTGGAGGAGCTCGTTGACGGCGATGAGATACTTCTCGTGCGAGTGTTCCTGGGGAACCTCAGCAGCAGTGAGCCCAGCGAGGGCAGCCAGGATGGCGGTGTGTTGGCACTTCATGATGACTTTTGGGAAGTTGGACTACGAGTTTTGGTGTTGAATAACGGACTGTCAAACGATGTAGACAAATAAAGAAGGGCCGGCCCAGCGGTTTGGAAAGAATGTTGATCGCAGGACGAAGAGAAGGGAAGCAAAGGAGGCTCACAGAACCGCAGAAAGAAAGAATAGGTCAGAAGGAGACTGTTTTGAGCTGATGAGTCCAAAAGCCCACCTCATACCTGGCGCGGATGAGATCGTCTTATATGGGCATCAACGGCCACCAGAGATGGGATGGCAGAAAACCACTTGGTCGAGCGCTTGGCCTCCGTCTCATCTCACACCCTGCCCAGCTCGGTTGAAGGGGTCTAAAGCAGCATCCAGTAGGGGCAACAAGATGCCGATCATCAACATACCGGGGGCAAGAGGCCGAATGAAGTTGTTTGAGATGAGCCTGGGAAGGATACTTCGGTAGTGACAAGATCCGAGAGCGGACTGGCCCTGGCAGGAGCTCTGTATAATGCTACCATATTCAGAATAAAAAGTCTTGGCTGAGACTACACCGCTCGGTTCGTATAGTCTGCCAGCCAAACTGTGGACCAGACAGCTATTGTTCATGGATCTTTGTATAGATGCCAGAGGTGTAGGTCTGTCCAAACGTCAATAACACACATATTCTTGGTGTTGCGGCGAAGCTGAAGACATCGTGAAGACGAAGTGAAATGGCAGTGAAATGAAGTACAACTGGGTTACAACCAAGCGATCCGCCAGCCAAAGACAGCTGCACATCAAAACTCTCTTTGCACAGCAATCTACTTCAGATCCTTCGAAATAGATCTGACAGGTTGCAAGCGTGACTCGCCCTGGTCACGGCTCACTGGGCACAAATGTCAAGAAAAGAGTCAATGGCGATCAAGAGGAAAATCAGACACCACCTGTCGCGTCAAACGTCTCATGCGTAGGAACACTGGCGATTGGCTCTCAGACGCAGTGTGGCCCCTGGCAAGACAGGGGTCCCCCGACCGCGCGCTGTGATGTTCCCAAGACCGTCCTCAAAGCGCTAGCATTGATGATGCATGGTAATGGAAAATTGTAGCTCTGGTAGCTCTGGCTAGGAGACTCGGCGTGACCCCCTCGTCATGATCTCTTTGCGCAGGAGGAAGCCGATGCGAACTTGTTTGATTCGGTATCAACCAGATCTAGATTCCTTAAGGGATGGGCAGTTTTGCGGAGAGATCGGTCCGATCACTTGGTCTGCCGATTAGCATAATGCAGTGCTGCGTGGTAGCCCTAGGCTCTGAGATCACGGGTTAGACATGACTCTACATTCATCTGAACCATGGACCAAGTCGATAAGCAGCCCGCGTCTGCCTCGTCTCGTGTTTCTCCGCATGCTTGCACTTGGAAATGGGAAGCATTGCGTCCAGACAAGCATTATGGCTTGAACAGTAGCATCACACGACAGACAATGCTGGAAACCCCATGCTTCCGTGATGGGGAGGTTCGAAGTACCAAAGTGAAGGCTCCAGTTCGAGAGAGTATTTGCAGTTGCATGGTATTGACTGTAGCATCCTCATGGTCAACGCTGCCATGAGCGTGTCCATTGTGCGATGTTCGGACGAAAATTGCCTGTATGAATTGCAGGGTCATTCTCTTTTCAAGTTCCCTGTACCTTCGTCATCGAGAGAGGGTGAAAGCACTCGGCACGGGTCTGCATCTGTGTGTCATCGACACAGTTGATGGCAGCCGAGATCTGGTGGCAGAGTGTGTCGAGGTTTGCTGATTGTCCAAATCCTAGATGCCACTCGAGGCCTTGGCAGAAAATGTCGTTGGCGGCTTCCAGGTGTGCGGTCGTCACCGCGGCTGTATCACAAATCCTGTACCCTGAGTCAATACCTCGCCAAACAAGACTCACACCTCCATGGACCGCAAAAAAGGTGGTGTTTCGAGGCTCTCATTGTTCCCGGATGCTCGACTGATTATACAACATGACAAAGCGCATGCCCGGGCCATTGTCTAGGAAAAACGCAGTCTCCCCCTCATCCTCTCCCTTCCTGCTCGTTGCTTTCCACCGCTGATTCCCGCGGCCGCCGGCAGATGATCGAAAAGAATCTATACGTCCGTTGTGTAAGTGTTTTCCGTCTTCGTCCGCCGTTTCTCCGAGGATATTCGTACAAAAGGACGTCGCCGCTGCCGCTTCCCCCTTTCAAGCTAGCAAATCTCGCTTTAACCGATGACAAGCTTGCCCTCCTCGGGGAAGTCGTATTCGGGGACCTCGAGGTTGAGAGGGGCAGGGCCCTTGCGGATACGGCCCGAGATGTCGTAGTGGGAACCGTGGCAGGGGCAGAACCAACCGCCGTAGTCACCGGCCTCGCCGATGGGGACACAACCCAGGTGGGTGCAGACACCTGGAAGAAGAAAAGGTCAGCGAGGCGCGCTCACGGGAGGAGCACGAGACGAGGGTTCGGTGTCGCCGGGAGGGTACGACATACCAAGCATGACGAGCCACTCGGGCTGCTTGACACGGTCGCTGTCGTTCTGGGGGTCACGTAGGGAGGCAACGTTGATCTTGTTGGCCTCGTCAATCTCGGCCTGAGTGCGGTGGCGAACGAAGACGGGCTTTCCGCGCCACTTGATGACGACCTGTTTTGCTGCAAGTCAGCGATGTTTGCTCCTCCACAAACCTGGGACGGGTGGTGTAACGCACGTTCTTGCCCTCGGGAATGGCGCTGAGGTCGACCTCGACCTTGGCCATGGCCAAAACGTCGGCGGAGGCGGACATGTTGACGAGGAATTCTGCATCGCCGTCAGCAATTGAACTCGATTCAGCCATCAGACCCCCGTAAAACTCCGTCACACGATCCTCCTCTTGCCAATCCTGATGCCCAATGGCGTCATGTTCGTCTCTTGCCCATCGCCTCGGCTCGTGGTGACGTACCCTGAACGGTAGACTTGGCACCCGCGGCCGTGATCGCGCCCATGGTGCCGACCATGAAGTAGGAGAAAAGGTGGTTCTTGGCGCCGCTGCCCTTGCTCATGTACTTGGAGAAGTCGGGAATATCATCGCCCTTCTGCGCACCCTTGAAGGGGCTCGAGTAGCTGTGGGGGGTGTAGTCGGCGCGGGCGGCCGTCGTGCTCAGCGCCCGGGTGGGAGCCGCCGCGGACCGCGAGAGCTGGCGCAGGCAGGTGCGGGAAGCGTTTGCGAGGGGCGCCATCGTGACGGTTCGAGGTCAATTGGGGGGGTTGTCGGGGGGGGTGGAGTGGAGGTTGATGGGCAGATTCAAGGGCGGAAGCGCTCTTTTTTTCCTAGAGGTGGTTCGTGATGATGGTGGTTTGAGGATTGCCGAAGCTTTCTTTGCATGCCTGAGGCACAGGCTATGAAATTGACGGCTTTTGATTGGGCGTGCTATGGCCAGATACCCGGGCGTTTCCGGGGACCCGTCTATGACATATCTCCATAACTTGCATAATCTAGCACCATAGGCATAACCTTTCTCCAAAAGGAGCGGTTCAACTCGATATTTGCATACGTACTTCATCAAGCATCCTCAAGTGTACGTGCGTCCACCAGGTCGGTTGTGTCTTGATTATCATACAATCGTCAGCTAGTGCATCCTTCTGAGCTCTTCAACCATGTTCCGCATCGCTTCGACAGACGGTCCCAATCCCTCCACAACAGCTTCTTGTCTAAGTTCATCCAAGTCCAAGAACCGCTCAATCAGCTCTCCGTCCACAAATCTGAACGGCGCTCCCGCCATCCTCTTTGCGTTTCTGAATCCCCGCCATTGGCTAAACGAGGGTCCCTCGTTGTCTTCGGGCGCGGCTTGGCCGAGGTAGCGCACGATCCCAGCCAGTCGTTCCTGGAAGGGCAGCAGGATGCTCTGGTACTCAGCACTGATATTGGCAAGGACATAGAGAGAACCGTCGACCTGCGTGCGTTCATTAGTGGTTGAAGACCAATCAGTTGTCGCCGAAAGGGTTGCTTACCGTTGCGAGGAAGGCCTTTGGGACAATAATGTCGCTCTCTGTCGCCGTAATCTGGAGCGGGCGGATCTTATTCACCTGCTCGCCCAGGTGCATCTCGCTCGTTGTGCGCATCTGCTTCTGATCGTGCTCAGTCGGCGCGTCCGGCTGACGTTCCAAAATCATGAGGTTTCCCTGCGCGTCCGCCTCCAGCCAGGATTCCTCGCCCAAGCTGCACACTGCTGTGGCCCAAATGTATTCAAAGTGTCGCGCCCTCTCTATTAGTTTGGCCTTGCGGCCGTCTTTTGCTGGTACAAATTCGACCAGGGTCATGGACTGCATTAAATCAGCCACTCCAATCATGTTGCCGGATATGTCGAGATCAACGGGAAATGTCGAGGGCCGGAATGTCGTCAGCTTCTCAAGCTTTCCAGATGTCGTCGAATCCTCGATGTAGTCGTAGACTACCACCGTCTTGCTCAAGCCCGCCACGAGCTTGTCTCCCATCACCCCCAGGCATCGGCAAGCACCCTTCAGTTCGTGGCTGACGATGAGGTACGGGTTCCTGTCCGAGTCTACACCAAGCACCAAAATCCGACCCTTGACGTCGCCACTATCGTTGACGTCAGGGTCTGCGAGATAGCTTGTGCCAATTATGAATCTCTCGGCGGGCTGCCCTGTACTGTCGTCGAGTTCGGCTCGAATCACAGCCTCAACCAGCTCCACAGAGGCTTCTCCGCCAAGGGCAAAGGGCCTGCCGACCTTACCGAGCACAATCTCGTCTACGAGCTGGAAGGCACTTGAGACAATCTCTTCGTCGTGCAGAAGCTCTTTTCGGATGGTGCCGATGCCGAACGCCTTCAGTGCCGGAGAGTAAGCCACCCGCCGCACCGTCTCACCGATATGAAGGGGGTTGACGTGAGTCCGGCGTTCGGTATCCACGTTGGCGATACGGACATTCTTGTCAGTAGCCAAAAAGATGGCATCGGGAAAACCCTCAGAATCAAACGGCGCAATGTGAGTCACGTCCTCGGCGGTGGCAGCCGAGTAGATGATCCGGCCCTCGGAGCTGTAAATCAAGCTCGAATGTTCGGTCGTCGCAAACACATTGCTCTGACCAGGGGCACCCGGTCGCGGCAGCACATGCAAGCCTGCCTCCCTGCTCCCCAACGTGACACTTTTCCTCGCCGTGAGAGAATAGTCATCTTTTGAGACGTTGATTGAAACCACTTGGCCGTCCTCAAGAGAAACGAATAGCGTGGGGCCTGCGAGCTGAGGCGGGTGCAGCTGGACCAAAGCGAGATCCCTAGGAACAGAGACGTTGTCGTCGTTCTGTTTGATGCTTTCCCCCATGCAGTGCTTGCAGTGTTCCGAGGTTGATGCCCGCACACGGAGCCTGTCGACCAAAAGCCAATAGCGCCGATATCAGGGAAAGTCTCGCGATGCGTGAATGCACGAGATCTGGCTGCCGTCGCCCCCCAATACCGTCGCCCAGTGCTTGCTCTCGTACATCAAAGTTTTGAGTCAGATTCAAGGACACGAGGGTGCTTCCGCCGACAGATAAAAGTGCATACTTCTCGTTGACAGAAGCATTGACGATACTTCCCCCGTTGGATGACGTCCAGGAATTTATCGTAACACTGCTTTCCGAGTCTAGAAGAAGCGCGGAGGAAGCCGTAATTTGCAGCGTGTGGCCGTTGGCTAATGAACCTGCGAACAAAGTCGGCTGGTCAAGTGTGAGACCCTGGAAGTCCGCCAGCTCTTCGACGCTGCCGTAGGCATCGAATTTGAAGACCCTCGTCTCTGTTATGAACGAGACGACAAGCGTGTCAACCTTTTCAGACCCATATGACTTGAGCGAGAATAGACCACGGACATCCTGTATGCCATCTAATATTCCAATGTCCTCCAAGCCGACACTGCTTCGGATGCTCCTCAGGCTACCGTTATGGTGCACACCGCAGCCCGCCACAATGCGGGCCTGTCCAGACGAGAAAGCGTTTCCAACCCCACTGTCGCCGGCGTTGCCCAGGTCCATAATGGAGAAATCGAGGATTGGGGCGATGTTTGGTATTGTTTGGATCAGCCGTATTGTCTGAGCGCACAGGTCAAGCGTGAAGAGCTGGGAATCCCCATGGTGTGATCCCAGGAACAGAATCTCGTTGCCCATATAGACCAGACACGAAGCTCGTGATGTCTTTCCAATCGTCTTGAGCGACAGTCCAGTCACGATGACGCCGTCGACCTCGAGCGTCAGCAGGTGTAGGTTTCCGTAGTCGTCGGCGAGAAGGTATCGTGTAACATCGTACTTGGCCCACGAAACGAAGATCCTGGGTTCGTCGAGTGCCTTGCTAATCTTGACCTTCGTCAGGGTATCAACATAGATAAGCATTGTCTCGCCAGCGACAATCAATCCTCCAAGCTGCGCGCTGGCATTTGTTGTGTCGCGGCGATGGTAACGCTTCACGTCTGATTCGACTATCGACACTGGGATGAGTGTTCTGGCGAACGGGTCGGGAATCTCGAGCTCGAGCTCCCGGTTCTTCAAAGGGTCGAACTTGGAAACGTTGGTGTTGCCGTCCTCCATGAGCCTGTAGACGGCCAGATGCGCATCCTCCCTATCGATGGAATTCTGGTAGAGAAAGGCGATGGTCGGATGTCCCGTCTCCGTGGGCACGAAGGTGCTTGCCTTCATGAACAGTTCGGAGAGGCGAACCTGAGCCCAGTCTTTATCAAGCCTCAAGTTTGCGCCCTTGCGCGTGCCCAGTTGCATGATGTTCATGACGCCCTCCCACAGGTGCATGGCGACGAACCTGCCCGCGGGATCGACAAGGCACTTGTCCTGGCTCTGGGCCTCGCGCATGTGCGGCTCTGCAATGTCCTGAATGACCTGCTCTGTGACGAGCTTGCCCTGTGTGGGGTCCCATCGCGCAGTGAAGTAGTGGAAGAGATCGGTGCCGACGAACAGAATGTCGGTCTCGGATGCTTTGGGTCGGAGGGTTTGAAGGAGGGTGATGGTGCCGCAAACGACGGATGAGCTCAACAGAGTCAAGCCTTCTGAGGTGGGGCGTGAGATCTCAAGCCGATTGACCTTGCTGTCGCTGGCGGTTAGCAGTCGAAGCCGAGGTGAGGGAGGGGTGATGGAGGGGCGCAACGCACGCAGTAACCAGCACATCCTCGTCTGGCCACAGGCGGCTTGAAATGGCCAGGCGAATGCTGCTGGGCCGGTGAATGGGGACAATGTACGACATGTTGTCAGGTTGGGAGAGAGTAGTTTGCGAACAACGTGTCTCCGGCCCCAAAGATTTGGGCCATCGACGCCGATGATGACGGTGAATGAAAGGAGAGACCTTGATCGGACTTAGGGGACCAGAGCTCCGGCAGTGCTGAGATCATGACCAGCGACCCCAGGCGCTATCGATAGCGAGATGCACGGACCAGTAGGGGCTACAATGTGAAGCTCACCTCGCCATGATTCACTACCTTAGTTTGGATTAGGTGATCATGTCAAGCCTTGTGATGCCTCATGGCCATTCATTCTGGCTTTCTCATGCTTTTCAGTCGGAATTCCTATTTGGAGGAGGTATCGTCTGCTATTAGTACATTGAATTTGGATGACTGGCAATTGGGCTTGGACGCCATCAAGTCAAGAACAGAGGATGGCGCACCAAGTCAGCATGCTACGTGTGTTCAACATGATCCAGACACAGCTCATCGATTCTTCTGCTGCTTACAGAAATTATCTGAAAACGATTCTAGCCATTGGAAAAGGTGCTGTGATCTCTGAAGCTGCTGGTGCACCGACGTACCTGCTAGGAACTGGAGGCTGGGATTCACTGATGGCAAAACAAGAACGTCACGTTTGTTTGGTTGGATGCGTACGATTTTGACGCTAGCAAAGCAGACTGACTGGTTCAATGCCCGCATCTGACATGAACCTTCACTCCTTCGCCGGCCTCACCATGCCCCACGCTCGATAAGGCCTCTCAAGCCCAAACTGCGCGAGACTGACCACGAGCGGCTCGACATCCTGGAACCCAAACTTGGGATACAGCACGTGTCCCGGTTCCGAAGACTCAAGGAAGGTCGCCAGTCCGAGGCGATCCGCCTCGTCAGCGCCCCATTGCATCAGCAGCTTCCCAGCGCCGCGGCCTTGATGCGCGGGGTCCGTCACGAGGACACTCAAATCTATCGCGGGAAAATCAGCAACGCGTCTCCGTCGTTGGCGGATCACGCAAACCTGGGCCCAGACACTAGGGAAAAGGTACTCACAAATGCATTTCAGACCCTCGACGTTCTTCCTCAGACCGTCAATCCCGCCGTACATCAGCTTGGCAGCCTCGAAATTCATGCCGGGCGAAAAGGTTCTCTCCTTGGGCGGGGGCATGCCCTCGGCGTAGACCATCCATTTACCCCAAGCGACGATGGCGTTCGGGCCCTCAATCTCCGTGTCCGCCACGGCGATGAAGTGGATGTTCGGCTCCTTGGAAAGCGTCTCCGACAGCTCGGCCACGCGGCGCTCGTCGGCGTCGGGCGGGAAGGGACCTGGGTAGACGATGGGCTTGATGTGGCTAGAGTCAAAGGCGGCCGTCTCGACGACGATGCAGCGCTCAAGAATGTCGTGGTCCGATGCCTCAACGCGGCGCAGCTCGAGCGGCATGTTGGCGGTGGGTGGGTGTGATGATGCCACTCTGAATGGGGAGAGGGATCCGTGCCGCGATTGTGAGGGCGATTGCAAAGGCGATCGTGAATAGGAGGCCTGACGGATATCAAGAAGCGCAACTTGTGATAGGGAAGGTGCCGTTGCAGAATGGCCGGGGTCTTGAGACAAGCTTAAGGCTTCAATAGAACGGGGCTCCTGATGAGGACACGGAGGTTGGCACAGAGCGGGGGCCGGAAAGGTGTTACTGATGGGGGCAGGCCCGGCGAATGACTCACGGCGGATCGGGTGTGCGGGGCGCCCCGGGAACGTTGGAATTAGGCACTGGTGTGAGATCTTAGTCGAGCCGATCCAAGCGCTTGTGTACTTTCATTGCGTGCAACTTGTAGCCTAGAAGGGGCGAATACCTTGACAGTCCAGCTTGGATTAGGCAGGTGTTTAGTCTGTCAGATTCAGGACGTCATCAGGCTTGTTGCCACTCCCACTATCCCCCTTGCAACGCCTGTCAAACCTTTGTCAGGTATAGATCTTATCCAAACCAGTGCCTCCCCCGAAAGAACGTGTCCATGCATCTCAGTAAAATTGCCCTCTAGGCGTGTTGGGTCCAAAGTCGATGGACGTCAACGACACGTCCTGCACGAATTGAGGATCAAAGTTCTTCAGGCAGTAGTCGACCACCATGTCGATGCCTGGGATCATCGGTCAGCACAGGCACCAGAAGCAAGAATAGGATGGATGTGTGCATGACTTACCAGCGCCAGCACCACCCGCCGTCCAAACCTCGCCCTTGCCCTCGCCCTCGTACACCTTGTCCTCTACGACCCACCGCTGCTCAACCCATTCAACAGCCGGATACATCTGCTTCGCACCGGCCAGGAAGTTGCGGTTCGTCGTGGCCTTCTTCCCATCCAATGCGCCGCTGCTCGCGAGCCACATGGAGCCCGTGCAAGTTGTCATCCAGATCCTCGTCTTGGGGAAGGCCTCCTTCATGAACCTGTTGGCGGCCGCCGGGCGGTGAGACGGGTACGGCCCGCCCGTGATGACAATGTCGAGGTCACGCGGACAGTCGTCGTAGGTGACGTTGGGGAGCCAGCGGAGCGAGGGCGTTGTGGGAGCCGGCTCGAGCGTGGTTGACATGTAGAAGAACTCAATGTCGAGAAAGTGACTGTCATACTTGGCGAAGGCCTCAACAGGGATGTTGGAGGCAACCATCTCCGCCTGCATCTCGGGGGTCAGGGCCGACAGGTTGTTGAGGATGTCAATGCCGATGATGTCGGCGAGCTGGATGTTTTCCATCATGACGCCGACACGGACCTGCTTTCTGGGGGTTTGGGCGGCCATGGCGTTTCTTGTCCGGGTATGCAATGCTGTCAATGTTGTGGATGAGTTGGTGTCCTACTCTGGGGCTTTGTGTGAGTTGCGCCCGTTCATCCTTCGTTCTTATACCTTGTGCGCTTTGGTACCGGCTCCCCAGCAGATCTGCCCATTCCGAAGCCTTTCGGCTTCGGGCTCATCACAGAAGAATCAAGACATCGGCTGAGCTATGTCAACTCTTCGTCGAGGGCCGCAATCACGCAGGCAGCTGTGTCAGGGTATCGAGGCGTCGAAGACGGAGGCCGTCATTTGCATGTGGTGGCTGCTGTTTCACCTGCCCGATTCGGAGCCTGCCCAGGTTTAGTCTCCGATGCGGCTCGGGGCGTAAACACTAGCCACGCCACAGGCCAGCCCCAGTATATATCTATCTCGCTGATGCCCGGCGGAGTCTGGTCTTCAATGGTTACCCCTGTTCTCGGCGTTACAAGATCTTTTGGTCTGAATTGTTGAATTTCGTGGTAGTACATTGCTACCTAGCATTGTACTGAAATGCTACTGATGCACTGCAATGCACTGCAATGCACTACAATGCATAGCAGACGACACAGCAGATGAACGCTGTTCAGGACAAAGTGGTATCCTCGGTCGTGCCGTTAATACCAGCAGCCAGCTTTTCATCCAGCTGCGTCACAACGCCACTGTTGGCCGGCTTGCCCAGATTCTCCGATACAGGCCTCACGACATCACACCTCAGGTTCTGCGCCGAGCTCATCTTCTCCATGTGCGTGTTGTTTGTCTGCACGAAAAGCCTCTCGCGCCCCTCGACTGTGAAGGGTGCCCACTCAGCGGCACCCTTCTCGCGATCGCTGTTGGGGTCGAGGTTGCGTACTTGTAGTTCCAAGTCGTGGCTTCGTCACGCGCAAGGTATTTCTGGACGTTGCGGACGATGCAGTGGTTGCCAATGTCGCCGATGGCGTTGGCGGCCTGGCGCCACTTGATGCCCGAGTCCGGGAAGACGGGCTGCGGGACATCAATGTACAGGTCGTCGATGATGGCGAGCGAGTTGTCCGAAAGCGAGGGATCATTGCCCTTGATGAAGCCGAGGGCCTGCTCCGTCGTATTGGTGGACTGCGGCGCCGAGTACTTGGTACCCTCGTTGGCACAAGTGCCCCAGATGGTCGGGAGCTTGGTGTACTTGCCCGTGCGGAAGAGGTTCACCAAACTGTCGGAGAAAAGTTCGCCGTCGATATTGGGGTTGAACCAGCAGTTGGACGACCGGACAGCTGACTGGTTCAGGGCGCGCAGACAGGAGAGCGAGTCGGCCGAGTCGGCGCAGCCCTTCTCCTTGGCGAGACAATCGTATTGTCCCTGTCCTTGCTCCAGCGTGCGCATCGTGACCCAGCCGCCTGACTCGACGATGCCTCCGGCGAAAGGCTTCTTCTTGCTTCCCGTGTTTGCAGCCATGAGTAGACCAACGGCTGAGCCACCGGCACTCACACCGTCGAGGACGACTTGGTTAGGGTTGCCACCAAAGTTGTGGATGTTCTTCTGCACCCATTCCAGGGCTTTGAACATGTCCTTGATACCAGCATTGAGCGAGCCGCCCGCGCGGACTTCCTTGCTATGGAGAAAGCCGTACATGCCGACGCGGTAGTTGATCTGCACGACAACGACATTGCCGTCAGCTGCAATCTCGCTGGCATCCCAGTTGGCGTTGGAGTTGGAGGAGAAGCCGCCACCCTGGAGAAAGAAGACGACGGGCAACTTTGAGTTCTTCGAGGCCTTGGAGGGCGCTGTCACGGCCAAGTACAGGCAGTCCTCGTCGACTGTGAAGCGATCATAGGTACCGGTGACGGTCCAGTCCCCCGGCTGCTGCGGGGGGCAGATGGGACCGTGGGCTGATGCGTTGACCGTGCCTCTCTGGAGCGGGTCGGCTGGGGCAGCGAAACGAAGCTTGCCAACGGGAGGGGCGGCGAACTGGATGCCCTTCCAACTTGTGACGCCCAGCGCCTTGTTTGTCACGGCTCCCTGAAACTTGGCGTACCCGACGTCAACGAGAGGCTGGACGGCTTGGACGCCGGATTGCAAGAAACCCGTGGCGGCCAGCACAGACGTGAGATGAGATGTCACCTTCATGGTGGCGTGTGGCAATGATGTGGATTGCCAGGTGAAAGAATGATAAGTAAAGCCGGGGGATGAACGAACGGATCAAAGAGATAAAACTCAATAAGAAAGAAAGGACAATCTCAACAGAGACCAGATGAGCAAGGTTGCGAATGCGATGAAGCGATGATCTCTTGCTGGCCTTTCGTCGGAGCTGACATTCCGTACTTTATATTGACGACTTGAGCCGATGTGTCCGTCCATAGCTCGGAGCTTCGATGCATTTTCCCCTATACACAATAGAGTTCAAGCTATAGTGGTGGGTTCGCGGTAAAATACACCTCTGTTTAAATGAAACATTCTGGGGTGATGCTTTTGACAGCCGGCAGGTCAGGGACCCCCATTTGAGAAGAAATGCCATCCCCGTCTGACGATCGCTCCACTGTCGATGCGACAAAGGGGTAAATTGGCTCGGGTTGAACCGCATATGCCGAAGCCATAAGATCATCAACTCTGGGAGCAAAGCGCCAGCGCAGCATCTGGGCCGCAGGCATGCTCGGATTTGGAAAAGAACAAATTGGTACAGCCGCCGAACGAAGGCAGGCCTGTTGCATCGGGTTCGGAGTCACTGCTAGCCCTTGTCCGAAATTGAGCAACATTGAGTGCTGAGACCTCATGGCCATGTAGACTTTGTTCATCCGGGTTGCACTCGGAGCAACCATTTGGGTCGACAGGTCTGAGCGCCGAAGAAGGTCACATCGAAGATGTGCCAACTGCGTCTGTCAGCTATATCTCGGAACGTCGGCGTTTGAGCAAGTTATTCCTCTCAAGCTACTGGTGTGAGCTCTAGGGGCTCGGATGGCCCGGCTTCGTCAGGTTGCGGCAGGATCGATTGTCGAGAGAGAAAATCGTTCGTGGGGGAGGCAAACCATCGAGCTCACCGTCAACGTCGCACACGTGCAACGGTATGTTGTCTTTCACAGAGGCGAATATGAACGATGCTGGAAATGCCAGCACCCTTCTTGTATTGCGAGAGCCAGCTACGAATGATTTTGCGAGGTGTCGTAGTCAGGGCAATCCGCTCACTTTCCCTTTGTATTGTCCTCAGGTGGTCGCTCCTGCTAACGCTTCTGGGTTCTTGGAATGTAGGCAGGAGCGACGAACTCGAGGCAGCAACAGATCATGACTTTTCATCAAGCACGTTCTTCTTCTGAAAGATTACTGCCAGAAAAATGTGCTCACATTGACTTGGCCGGTTCGTCATGACCCGACCTGCATACAGCAGACTGCATCGGATCTGTAGACATCATGAGCGCCACTCTCACATCGTCAATCACCCATGAACCAGACTCAATGGCCATCTACCATGCCATCTTGAGAACGGTTCGGTACGATCTCCGCCAAACAGGGCACATCACTGATAGCCGGGCCTCTACAGGCCATCTTGCATCACTGTCAGCTATGTTGCCCCTTGTCGAGGAAGTCGATGAGGCGGACCTCGCAGATGTTTGCTTGCCAGCACCCTGCCTTCGCGAGACCGTCCTACCAGATGAGTCTATTGTTGACCTCGTCAACAGTTGCAGCCAGAATGCCACAAACAAGGACCTACAGATACTTGCGGAGGATGCCATTACGTACTCCTCACGGGTGATCAAGGACTTGGAGTTGCCTCTACTGCCCAGTAACCATGATCAAGATTTCAAAGACTTTCTCAAGAAATATTCTCCAGGTTCCCGGCCCAATCCTATCCATACATCGATACTTCCCCATGAGCCGGTGGATGAGCATAAGGACGAGAGCATGACGTTTCCCAGAAAGGCATACGCCACTCTTGCTCACTTAGAGGAACAACTTATGACTGAGAACATTGAACCGGATGTGTGTGACACGACATGCATATCTGAGGCCTTGGAAAACTACGATGGAGGGGGCTTAAGTCTCTCAATCATCATGAGCGAGCTTGCAATTCTTCAAGTACGCATGCCCTTCTTGTCATCTTCAGGCACTGACTGCTATGAGAAGGGCTCGAACCGCGTGGCCACCCCTCTTCTACTTCCCCCAGAGGGGGGTGAGGGTCTACAGCCACCGATACTCGAACAGCCGGACCCCGACAATTTCGTTCCGTTAGAGACTGTCTCTCGGATAGAGGGAGATCTGAGGACTAAAATAAATGCACCTCTTCATGTTGAAGCACCGCTAGAAACACCCTCCATTCGCATATCGAGCACACCAAAGGAGCCAGAAATACTTTCATTCACCCCGCCATCGTACGTTCAGATGTCTGATGTGATGTTAGAGCAACCTACCATGACTGAGCCGTCTTTCTCTGTACATTGTTCCGTCGACGCAGACCGAACACCAATTACTCTTAATTCCTTCTCCACCAAGTCGGATCCCATTTGCTTATTTCATTTTGACGACGCGGCTATACTGGACGAGCATCAGGGTCACAACCCACAAGCACAAGTATACCCGAAAGGCCTGGCTTCACAGTCCCATCACACCACAGGACAAGTACAACAACAGCTGGAGCAAGATAAGCCCAGAAATCCCGACTCATTGATTCGTTTGCCTGTCCCGAAGCTCGACTTCAGTATTCCGAATCCATCTCGGGCCAGCACTGGGTGCTCTACAAGTATGTTTGAATCTGTGAGGCACGACTGGAAGACGTTTCCCGACGCATGGCCTCAGGATCTTGAACGTGAGAGGCAGTTGCGGTGGACGCCTTTCTCGTTGAAAGACGCTGAAATCAACGTTTTCGAAAGCATCAGTGATTATGAGGACACTCTAGTGACGTTGAGCCGCTCATCTCCGGAGCCCTCCAAAGAATACGCAACCTATGATGCCGGTTCGTTGAAGATATATCAGCATGCCAAGAATGCAGTGATCAACGCCAACTTATCGTCACGGGAAGAATCTCCTGCTGTACAACCTGTGCGTCAGGCCACACCACTCAATTTACCTGCACCACCAGCAGACAATCTGCTGGAGCTGGCGAGGAAAAGGAAAGCCGACAGGCTACGATATGAAAAGGTTGTGCCCCAAAACAAGAGACTGCGCGAAAGCCATCAGCCACACGGGAAGTACAAAGATATTCTCCTCGCCGAGAACGAACCCGGTGCCTTGAGCAAGATGCTGTCCAACTACTTGGCTTTGATCGACCATCCACAGCAAAGGGCAAAAGGTCCCGATATTCTTCGGTACGCCTCCGAAGACTCAATATCTCAATCCACAAGATCCAAATTCTTTTACAAAAAACCCCAAATGTAACCCGTCAATGGCCGGTGCCCTCAAAGGAAGTCTCATACCTGACAATCACGCCCCTGGAAAAGCCTGTTCGCTTTTTCATCTCGACAACAATACCTCGCTCATTGGTATAGGGTTTCCGGAAATACCTTTACTGCAGGAGTTGAAATGCTTGATCGAGATTTCAGCATGCCCTGCCAACGGATATCTTCGCTCGCATCAGCCTCTTCTGAGGATGAAGTCTCTGCCCTTTCATACGAAGCTGACCTGTCGATCTCTGCTTCCACGGGGATCGTGGTCACTACGCTCCTTCAGGTCCGTCAAAGGCCTCTTCCGGGGTCGGCCGACTCAAGATCACAATTACGGAAGCGCATCAACAACGTGGCTCCCTTGTACGAGCGTCTTGTAGTTCTTGTCTGGAAAGATGGCAAGGACGACGCGTCTGCAGGGGCACCACTGTCTCCAGCTGAAGCCGCAGCTTACTCCGAGTTTGTCAAACAGAACGCTATGTTGCGTGGCACAAAGATCGAACCTGTATATGTCGGAGGGGGGCCTCGTCATCTCGTTGCTCGGACTATTGCGAAAGTCCGTCAGTATGTCACATGTGACAAGCAGCATTTGCTCAGGGAGGAAGAAACAGACTGGGAAGTCTTCTTTCGACAGGCTGGCATGAATATATATGCGGCCCAGGTGCTTGCTGCGTCTCTCCGAGACGACTTTGGAGACCAGGGCTTGGAGCGCTTCCTGGAGATGCCGCGGGAAGAGAGAACAGAGCATTTCCAGGAATTGCTTGGGGGAGGTGCCGTACTCGGGCGCATGTGTGCGAGGTTAGACAAGAGACAGGCTTCAAAGCATGGTGATGAAGCAGAGTGGAGAAGCTAGGAAAATACGACGGCATGACGACCTGACCGAGATTTCCTATATAATCCTCCATGTGCGAAGCGATTCGTGTAAAATATAAAATGATACATTATTCATTAAGATGGAACATATTCTAATCCGCCGAGTAGCCTACGCCGATGAAGCCCCTGATCCTCATATAATTTCGTGTCGATGGTGACTTTATGTCTAGATATTACTGGGAACCTTGTCTCCTTTCAGCAGAAGGTCCTTGACTTTTTGCACGCTCCCAATCAGTCCGTGCATGAAGCGGTCGATGACAGACTCGTCTGACGAGCTGTAGCTGCGCTGGAACGGAGGCAGCGCCTTGGTGCAATCGGTGAGACTGTTGATGTTGTACACGCCGAGGAGCGACATGCGGACATACTCGGCAGCGTAAGCCTGTCTCAGGTCAGTACGGGTAAAGCATCGAACGGTAGATAGGCGGGCACAAAACAACGTACATGGTTCCAGGCGCCCTGGGATGACTCGGGGATGAACGACTCCCAGGCAGCGCGTGTGCGTGCGTCGTTGGCGAGGTTGACGTCGCTTTGAAACTTGAAAACACGCTGGGGTGCGTTGGCATCAATAGTCTCGCCGTAGTACTTGACATCCCACACGCCAGGCGTAGAGTCCTGGGGATCACCGGGGCGGGTACGGTTGACGAATCGCTGCTGGCTCGTGGAGTGGGCGCCCATGAGGGCAATCAGGCCATCCGCTGTAAAGGTCTTGTCCGCGAAGAGCTGGAGCAGGCGGTCTGCGCTGTGGAAAGGGCTGGGAAGGAGGTTGCGTGGGGGTTCAACGGCGTTGTCTTTACGGCCGATATAAGTCTTGATACGCGGACCGAGCGGGCACGACACGGTGGCTACGTTGGCGGCGAACTGGATGAGGTCGGCCATGGAGACGCCGTAGCCCTTGTACTTGTCGTGCCACGTCTTCATTTGAGCGCAAACCTCAGCAAGGCCGTTATTTTCGGGAACGCGGGCACATTCGGCCGTCAGGACGATCGACCCGTCGGCACCGGTGCCTCCGGTGTCCTTGGACCAGGTGGCGGCGTCGTGGAAGCCAAGACGGATGGAGGCACGTGCAAGATTGTTGCACCGACTTGCATCTCCGATCATCATGCCGCGCATCTCGTTGGCAATGTGTTTCCACACACAACACTGGTCCATGCGGCAGAAGAGACCCCCAAGACGAGGGGCACCCAGCCAGTAGCTAGCCACGGTATTTTGGGGGTTACCGCGGCCGCTTAGGATGTTCTTGATATCTCGGCCGGTGGCAGTCAGCCGCCTGTCATCAAGGCCCACCAGGTCACCGATGATCTCGGTCGAGGGTCCGGAGCGGCCATTTCGTGATTGAATCTCTTGAATATCAGCCATTGCCTTGCTCATACCCGGATGAGCAATGGAGGCACCAGCCGTCAAGGCAACCAGTACAATGGAGAACTTCATGTTGGGATTGAAGAGGGCTGAAAATGAGTGTGATATTTGGAAGTTGAACAAGTGAACAATGAACGGAAAGCCCTCGGGCGACCACAAAGTAAACGCGAGTTGGAGGGAATTATGACAGGGTGTTTCTTCTGCTTGCCAACATCTTTGGCAGAGTCTGGATACTACTCTTTATAAGTTGCGCCATCCGGCTCCTGCTAGTGACTTGCCTTTTGGCGGTAGCCATTGCAAGAAGGCGAACACAAGACACATCATGCAGGCCTGGCCGAGCCATGCCTCGCCCGACCTGGAAAAGCTCCGAACGCTGGACTCAGGGGTATCTGCACTCAAAGAGCCGAGACTACTCGACTCAGCAGACGTGAGGAGCTACCTCATCCTGTGGCCATGGGCGTGCTGTGGCTGAGGACATAGTACCAATGCGTGGTCAGTTAGCTCGATTGGAAAACGGTGGAGGGCCATGACCGCAAGCTAACACAGTGGCCTGAACTTCCTTCGTCAGTGCGTCGTGCCCAGAGTGGCGCGGTTGAAATGTCGAGGAAGCGTTTTGTTAGGAGAAGTAGGGAGGTCGCATGTAGTTCTCGGCACTCGGTTCCCTGGCGCTGATGATCTTGGCTCGGACGCGGTGGCTCACTCAGGTCAGAGTCGGGGCACGGACGTGAGAATTTCTAGTGCAGGTCTTAGCCAGGAACGCGGCCATTGAGAGGTGCTTTGATACAGGCATGATTGGCTAGTGATGTGCGCTGGCCTCACTGTCGGCATTGTGCCCTTGCTGACAATTTGACAGATTACTCAGATCCGCAGAATAAGACGTCGAAAATGCCGACTGGCCAAAACGCTGCGCTGCTCAATGATTTTCTTGGAGATGGCTTGGGCGGAGATGTCATGGGCGTGCTGATACGCGTTGTTGGCAATAGACGGTGTCCGTCTTTGCAATGGCATCGGACGTCCGTGGAGGCGGAACGTGACGCCGTTCGTAAGCACTGACCTAGTCTACTGTCACGAGTGTCCGAATGGCATTCTGCCCAGAACAAAGAAAATGCCGTGCTCACGACCCTTTGCTGCATTCTGCAAGGCCTGGTGGGGTCGCATAGCCGAGGACTCAGGCTGAGCTTAATGAGGTCTCTATTCCAGGAAGATCCTTTCGAGGCCCGTAGCGTAATACGAGAATGCCTCGATCGATGCCTGCTTCATTGCATGACGATGTCGAGTTGTTTGAATCCACGTGCCATGTGCTCGGTGCCTGAAGACCCAGACCAAAAAGAAGGGCGACAATGCCCCTTCATGTTCATGTGTTCGAACCCGGCAGAACAGTTGTGGGAAGGTTGGCTTGCCATATTTGTTGCTCCAATTGGTCGATATCGGAATATGAGGCTCATCCACGAGCATCTGCTTCACAATCATGCGCGCCTCTGATGTTCTGCCAGATGAGACTTCGACTCACGGGGTATTTTGGCGGATGGCCGAAGACTGCATTAAACTTGCTCATGTTCCTCTACATGATGCTGCTGCTGATTCTGACGTGGTGTATCAGCTTGCTGGCATCCATCATCTCCGCCGCCTGTTGTCTTCATGCCAATGGCCCAGATCTTGATGCTGCAGTCGGATGTGATGCGGGTTGACGATATGGTGGGCAGCTGTCGTTCATCCCGAGAGCCAAGCCCTTCGTCGAGCTCTTCATCCGATACTGGGGTCCAAGCTCCAGAACATGTGGCCACCACGGAGCCGCTGGGATGGAGTATTGTGCTCCCGATCGGTGAGTTGTGAGCCAGGAAGCGCCACGACGTGTCAAGCACACCTTGCTGGCTGCCAACGTCTTCCCACACGTACACATGGCCGTCCTTCGAGCCTGCCCACACCTCAAAACCCCCATTGGAGGTCGAAGCTGCAAAAACGTCGCAGCTCAGGCGCTGTTGTGTGGCCCCATCACGGCCAATGAGGACACTGACAGGCTGGCGAGATCCACGCACATCGTAAACTAGGATGCTACTCGCCTGTCGCTCATTGATGGTCAAGTATCGTCCACAGGGGCTCCAGATTGTCTGGACGATGCCATGGCCATCGTCTTTGCAGCCGAACTCACCATTCACGACGCCTCGAACGCTCCAGTTGGCAATGGCCTTGTTCGATCGGGATACGTCGTAGAGGCCCAACCACCGCGTCCACGTGCCCGCAGCTATGATCGGTGCCTCTGAGATAGCAGTGCTTTGGCTGGAAAGCGCCGATATCATGCCCTTCATACCAACGCCCCCTCCCTTTGAGATGTGCCGTTTTGACGGAATAGTCGGAATCGTGAGAATAGGTCCATCAGAACCAGGACGCGAAATATCAAAGTAGTCGAGTCGATTTGTAGACCCAACGAGGAAATGCGTTCCTGGCCAAGACCAAAGCAAGGTTTCAGCGGAAATGTACTCTTCCGTCTCACGGCGAATGAGCTTGTAACTGGCTAGTCGCGACTGTGTCCCTTCGTCGGGAAACAAGTGGTGGAGTTGAATGGGATGGTCCTTGCATGAGGTGAGCACCGTCTGGGACGCCGACTCAGACAGTGAGAAGAAGGGTGCTGGAGCTACGGCATAAGATGGTTCAGATAGGTGAAGTGTGCTCCGGGACCCAAGTTGGTGAGCGTCGTCGTTGGGCTCAAGCAAGTTTTCTGGAAGTACAAAAGCCGACACGCGGTTGTCGGAGGTGGAGGCAACTATGGTGGTACCATCTGCCGTCCATTGAGCCCCACGATAGAATGAAAGTTGCTCTTGACTCTCGTTCCTCTCATGTGGTGCGGTTGCAGCTACTACATCGATGGATGGTTTTGAGACGAGACCGCGGGCGGGGTCTGGCGCATCACGGTCTAGAGATTGGCCAATCTTGTTATCGATCCCACTCTCCGCATTGTGAGGGGATGTCATTGCAGCGTCCAGCGCTCAACGTTTGCTTGGGGGTGTCGTGGCTGTTGGAGAAAGCAATGCAAGGTCGGGTCGAAGAGTCCGCGGCGCGTCTATGGCAAGCACAATTTGCTTCAGGGCCATATGAGTCTCGGTGAGGGTCTTGTAGTGGATCTCCGGGGAGCCGGACCCTGATAACATAGGAAGGATACAGGTACCTTTACACGTTGAACCTTGCGGCAGTCGACTTTGACGTCATGCTCAACACGAAGGCGCGTGCTGGCCATAGCTTCGTTGATTGGCCGCTGCTCTCGGCCTTGCCAGAACCGTCTACCTTGACTGGATGGTCCCTGCCGCTTGGCGCTACTGCCGTATCCCGCCTGAATGTCAGTGGCACTTGGCTTGGGCGGGCAAGCAGCGTGTGTTTCCCTGCTCGTCTGGTCAGGCTGATGGCTGATGGCACTTTCCCATGCTCATCTCTCGTCACCGCGCCTTGACCGAGCTGTCGACGACGACTCATTCTACACACACCAAACCGTAGAGCGCGATCCCCACGATCCACAAGTCAAGAACCCGCAAAATGCGTCGCTGATCCCGCGTTACTGAGCTCGAATTGACTCGTCCCCTGCGATCGCTCCTCTCCCACCCCGACGCGAGACAACCGCCAACCCTCGACCCTGACCTCCGAACCGACTCCCCGCGCTGCAGGACACCCCAGCCTTTGCGACGATCGGCGCTGCCTGGCTCCTCCCTGGCTGCCCAACTGCGATTGAAGGACGGAAGTCGTGCACACCGTACCTAGTGGCCTAGAACTTCTTCCATCATTGTCTCTTGGTTCGTTGGAGCAGGTTGTCGGCGCTTCTTCCCAACACAGTCAGGCGCTATCGAAGACGAGAGATGGATTCTGCAGCCGCCTTCTCTCCTACCATGGCGGTGCCCGCTTTCTTCCAGACCAAGGATCGATGCGAAGAGCTTCGGTCTCCCAACTACTTCAACCTATCTCTCTCTCTGTGAGTCTCTGCGCCCATCCTGGCCACCCTGATCCTTTACGTCTGACCGAACTAACCCGCACCCCTCTCAGTTTGATCCTTCTTGGCCTCTTGATTTCATACCTTCCCCAACATCACCGTATCGCTTCGAGGCGAACTTCCGAGGGCATTTCCCCTTGGTTCGTTCTCCTGGGCGTGACCTCGGCCACCTCCGGTTTCGCCAACATTCTGACTGTGCCGCCATCACGACAAGACATCGCCTGTTGCAGTCAGCTGGAAACTTCCGAATGCTTGGCAGGTCTCCTGGCATCGCTCAACTGGGCGTCCAGTGGCTTTGCTTCGCTCTCATGTACGTCTCTGACAATCAGACAATCTAGCTCAATCGGCATGTTCTGGTGGCCAATCGCTAATGTTTGGCCAGTCTGGTCTTTTCCTTGTCTTCTTCCGATCTGAAGATGCAGATGTGCCCGAAGAAGAGCTGACTGGCGAACCGCCCAAGTGGCACACTGCGGTCACTGTCGGGCTGCTGTGTGTGTTCCACGCCGTCATCATCATCATCCTGACAGGTGTTTTTGCCGTCGCATTGAAGAGTCATCTTAACTTTTGGGCCAACCTGCTAGGTGTCATGGCAGCCGCGCTCGCCGCTGTCCAGTATATTCCTCAAATCTGGACGACCTATCACTTGAAACATGTCGGCAGTCTCAGCATTCCCATGATGTGTATTCAGACCCCGGGCGGGTATCTCTTTGCGTTTAACTTGTGGCTCAGGTTGGGTGCCGAGGGATGGAGCACGTGGGGCATCTTTCTCCTGACGGCTACCATGCAAGGCATCCTACTGGGCATGGCCATCTACTATGAGTTGACCAAAGAGCGAGACCAAAGCGAGATTGAGAACAACGGTTTGGATGACGACGAGCCTCAAAGGCCAAACCCTATCCGTACCTACTCCGAGGGCTGGCAGGACGGCCTGCCCGGGCCCTACACGGCCCATCCAGAGCGTTACGCTGAAACAGAGGAGGAGCTCGAGAGACTGCACGACCGCGAGGAACGCCAAGTTCTCCGTGAGGATAGACCTCTGCTGCGACCAGGTGGCATTGGCACACCACGAGTCAACTACAACACGACTAGTTGATGGACTGGTCGATGTCCGAAGAGGAATTGGAGGGTGGCACACCAGATGAATATTTTTTATATTATTACGGGTGACTTGAAAAAGATCGATCCGCTTGGCGTTCTGCAGAGAGCTAGTAGACTTCTACGTGTAACCATATACCTACTTTACTTTATGCTGCAGGGTGTTCGACGACAAGCTAGAGGTTTTCTGGCCGCGTGGGCTTGTATCGCCGACGAAATCTTTCGACACTGCTTCCTCTGCGTCTGCCATCGTCAATCGGGACGCGTAGTCGAAATAAGTGGACATATCTATGGTTCCCGGCCTTGCAACCGACATGCCACTGTTAGAAACTTATGGGAGCAAACGTGACCTGTTACACGTCGCGCGTCCTACGGTCGGAGCCAGGTCACCTTAAACTGTTCTCTTGATGCGTATTCAGCCTACTGTATTCCAGCGTCGCGAGCACTACATGAACGAGAATCCTATTCTTGCCTCAACTTCCATTCCCGATCAAAGTTGGTCAAAGCCCGCTGTGCCGTCGGTACGCAATCCAAAGCCTTAATCGAAACGTGGTCGGGCAAGCTCAACATGTAAAGTGCCGACTGCGCCAAGTCCTCGGCAACGAGAGGATCATACCCTTGGTAAAAGTCCTCCATGGCGTCCTTATCATACTGCACCCGCTGCAGATGGAAATGTGTGTTCACAACGCCAGGCCGCAACACCAGAACCCTGATATTCGAGCCAGCAGTCTCGTTTCGCAGGCTATTGCTGAAGCCCTCAAGGAACGCCTTGCTCGCGTGGTAGACGGCCTCGCCGTTGAAGGGAGGGCACTCGAGGCCAGTGACTGAAGAGACGTTGAGGATGGTGCCCCGCTTCCGCGGCCACATGCTGCGATTTAGTACCGAATGAGTCGTGAACATGACGCCATTCACGTTGGTACCGGACATTTGAGAGATGGCGTCGACAGGGAGCTCCCAGAAGCGTGCTGGTGCTCCGAGCGCGAGACCTGCCTGCGGATTTGTCAGCTACAGGAGGCAGTCGCTTCGCGGGACGTATTTCTTTCATGACTCTCACATTATTGATGAGGATGTCAATCTCGCCGAGGTCAGCAATCGCTTGCTTGACGGCATTGTCGACCTCTTCGTGGTTCTGGATGTCAACGGCGTAAACGCCGACTTTGATCTTTGGTGCTTTTTCGGCGATACTGTCTCGAACGGCCTCCAACTTGTCCTTCATGTTGCGTCAGTCTCATGGGCCTCGTCCGATTGTCTGGTCTGCTCACTTTACTTCTGGATGCCAATGCGACATTTGCCCCGGCGCCTGCTAAGACTAGAGCAATGGCTTTTCCGATGCCCATGGAGGCACCTGTCTGCTGCGGCCTCAGCGGGAGAACACACGTGTCGAATCATCATGGCTTACGATGAATGCCGTCTTTCCCTGTAGCGAAGCCATGGTGGGTAGTGTGCGAGGTGGGGATGTCTGTAAACCGCAGTTGAGAATCGCGATCGCTCCAGTGGGCTTGTTGATCACCAAATATGTCACACGAGTATGTGAGATCTATATATACTATAAAATACATGACACATCTTACTAACTCGGGAGAATCTTCGCTGAATCTCGTCAACATCTTTGACATGAGATGCATACACGACGTCATGTTGGGGCGGGTCCTGCGGATTGTCGGGCATGATGCCGAGACACATCACCATAGCGCGGCAAACCGATCGATATGAAGATATGAACAAGCGGCTTGCGTCGAAGAACCTAAGCTAGTTTCTGGGGACGCCGACAAGCGCGACATGTTTGGTGCTTGGCGCCAAAATTGATGCACGAGTGAGAACATACATGCCAGGATTTATCGTCTCTCTCTCGCAGCCAGGTCCGACTGAAAACAAAACAGGCATGTCCGATGCATACCTTCCTTACAAATCCAATTCTAGCAGCTATTGACAAGCCGTTCATTCTCTCGGTTCAGTTTCCAAACCCACCCAAACATCGATTGCACTAGACACCCTCGTTGGTGACACGCAACAGGAGGGTGTGTGAGGCCTTGCAAGATGCTCCGCTGACTAAACGTCCCCCCGACCCCGCTGCCTCACTAGCACACGCTGTCAAGATGTTGCAAATTGATGGTCTGCGAGATTGAAATTGAAAACTGTCTCCAGAGAACAATCGATCACATGAAAATGATGCCAGGATTGGTGCCGATGACCTTTTTCACTGCTGCTCATACGTAACTGTAATCAGTGCTTCCCAAATACTGGACCCTCAGCTCCAAAGAAGTCTCGCAGATCGTTCACCAGAGTTTTTGGCTGTTCCCAAGCAGCAAAGTGCCTGCCTTTGTCCTTCTGCCGCCAGAACTGAATGTTAAAAGTCTCCTCCATCCACTCGCGAGGCGACATCCAAAGCTGCCAGGATATGATCAGTCGCAGAAACTGGAATGATGTGTGAGAACGCACCTCCTAAGGGAAAACAGAACCACCGACTGGTTGCGAAACGTAGCGTTTGGCCATGCTGTCTAGATCATCGTTCACGACAGCCAACGCCTCTTTGTAAATATGCATCGCAGCGCTCGGACTACCCTGATAGTGCATGAATGTCCAGTTAATGAGCTCTTCCTTGGTTCTCGGATAATCGTCCGTCCAGGCTTTGAGCTTGCCCACGAACCATGCGAGTATCGCAACTGGGGAGTCGTGGAGGCCATTGCCGAGCGTCACACACTTGGTCTCCTGAACAATTTGATAACCCCGCGAAGACGTGAAAGGGATGTCAACACAACACAGAGATAAGCCAGAAGTATTGGGGCAGAGTCCTACCTCGTGCTCGGCAAGCCAGTTTATTCTCCTCATATTCTTCAGGCCTCGCTCATCGTAGTCTTTGTTCTGGAACCGAACGAACTTCTGGGGCGATTTCTTCGGGTCGGGCGGCAGCGCTAGAATCATGTTCATATGGATGGCCTGGACGGCATTGGGATACTTCAGAGCCACGAAACGGGCAATTATCGAGCCCCAATCACCACCCCACCATGGCTGCGGTCAGACATGTTGACCACCATCAGGCATGTGCCGCCTTACTTGACAAACATATCCATTGTACCCCAGTCTCTCCATCAGCATGGCGAAACAAATGGCATGCTGATCAATACCAAAGCCTTTTTTCTCGGAAAAGCCACTGATTCCATACCCCGGCAGTGAGGGGGCAACAACATGAAAGGCTTGTTTGCCTTCCTCGGGTTCAGTCAGCAGTGGGAGGATTTTGAGGACCTCCAGAAAAGAGCCGGGCCTGATCCTGTCAGCTCATGGACCACAACAGTCCTGGAATCCGTGTGCCCAACTGACCAGCCATGTAGGAACAGAAGCGGACGGGCGTCTGGCCTCGATGACCGATGGTGAAGAAAGTGAATACCCAGGGCCTCAAAGCCGGGCACCTGTATTGTTGTTTTGAAGTGATGGAAGGTGTTCAAGAAGCATTCGTAGTTCTTCCAGTCACATTCGTCACGCCAGAACTGAACGAGCTCCTTGAACGCGTTGTGGCCGATCTCAAGGTCGCTCCATTCAACGGATCCCATGGCATTGTCAAGACGAGTGTACTTGAGCTTGACTCTCGTCTCCTCTAGCAGCGCGTCTGGGACATTGATCTTAATTTCAGTAAGCAGACGAAGCCCCCTCACTTTTGGCCGAAACGAATGCGTATCCGCTGTTCGCTACCTTAATTACCGTAAAAGGCACGATTTCTGACATGGTTTCGTACCTGTCGCTGACTACAGTTACATGAATGATAAATTCCGAACGCTGATTGGATTGAACCAAGACCGGCATGAAGCACAGTTGCTAACCGTTGGTAATGGGGGAAAATGGGATATACGGGTAGAAAACAAACTGATCGACTGACGTCGATATGATCGAACGTCTACGAACACTTCTGGTACCGCTGTGTCTGTATCGTCAACGGAGTTCCGATGAAAAAGTCAACAACCCCAACTGTGAAATAACATGCATGAACTCTGCTGGTTCCTGATCGAAGTCTAAGGTTAAAAGTTGCACGGATAGACCAAGCTCCTATCCAAGCAGTAAAGCCAATTGCGGCTTGTAAACCTCGTGAGGAGCCTCTCGGACTGTGGCAACTATCATACCTGGCAGACGTCCCGCGACGACTACATGTGTGAATATCTAGGCGCGAATACGCTGGAAGATTCGATTAACAATTTAACAAATCAATCCCGCCCTCGAATGGATTTTTGCTCTTTCTTTGTTGGCACGATGCCAAGGAACAGCCGCGACCACGTGTTGTATGGTGGACACCCCGCAGCTCCAGAATCAGGTCCGTCTTCGTGAGGCCTCCCCGAGGCCAGCCCCCAGGAAAGGTAGGGACAGGAGCCGTCGTCGAGCCTCCACCCTGTGGATCATGGACCGATCAGAATTTGCCAATCTTCAACAAAGGCCGCATGGCCCAATGGCAAGGCGTCTGACTACGAACAGCACTTGATGAAAGATCATCTGCTGTGGGCATCAGGAGATTGCAGGTTCGAGCCCTGCTGTGGTCAACTATAAGTCACCCCAAAGGGTGTACCAGCTTTTTGTAGTTTTTGCGTGGTGTTTTTGCCTTTCGTTGCGGGTGCCACAACGGTGATACGAGTCTCAGATGTGCTACGCTGTGTCGATCCCTTTCTCATCCAAAGAACCTTGAAGGGACACAGACGGTGCCCCTTTATTTCTGATGTGCACATTGGTGCCCAAGGTATCTATTCTGTGTCTGTGTCGCCGCCGCCAGAGATGACTGAAACCACTGTCGATTTGACTGGCCGGATCTCGTTCCCGCGGATCATGTTGCAGAGCCGAAGAGACTGACGGGATGCATTCTATCGTCCACAGGGTTATTAGTCTTTCGGCATTGTGAGTACATGAATACCTCATTGTTCGATGTTCGTCGTGGAACATTCGTAATCCAAGACGATCAAGCCTGAAATTCCAGGTGGGGCACAGCGCCACTGCCACTGTCACAGCCCCCTGCCCCATCACCAACTCGCTCCTTGGATCAGAGCCTCCCACTGCAGCTGGCCTCCGAAGAGCAGGTGCACCGCCCCCTCTGCTTCGTACCACCTGCACGGCAAGACCACCCCCCAACACGACATTGAAACCCCTGGTTTAAACCTGACCCGAGACCTAGAAGTTGAAGCATTCCCATACTAAACTTACACCTCAACCTCCGGTCCCGATTCTTCTGTTTGTTCCTCGTCTCGACATCAATTCTCATCCCCCTCCCTCAACGGT